GGTCCCGTGTGTTTAGGAGGATCCTTTGGCAGAAATGGAACACAATAATCATACATTTATCCCGGATTATTTATCCCCTTCTATGGGACTCCATTGGTAAACTTGGTATTTCACCCAGATGGGCGTGGTTTTGTAAGACTTCGCATGCTTCAGCGAGCTCAGTGATCTTCTCAGCCTGTGCTCTGGGTGCATGTTGATGCATGTCAAGTATGACGGCATACTGAATACTATACTGTCTATAATTTGTATCCTGTATATGGTCTTACACCTACATTCATGGAAATTGATAGTCTGCTGTGTAAACTCATTTGGGCTGGGCATCTGTTTATGCAAGATACTACATTGATATACAGATACCCCATCTGAGGAGATTTTTGTTGTTGACCTTAATTTAGTCCATCAAAATGTTTAAGACTATTTAGTTGTAACATTATATAGTTATTACATATTTTCCAGTATTATGTTATGATGCTCAGTTTAACAATTTATCAACAGTCAGGTAAAAGTCATTTGAATAAAAAAATGGAAGTCTAGTTGTGGGTGCAGCTGTGCCAGCAGTAACTTTACAAGGAGTGTGTCTTCGCAAATCGATGATCACATTTTTTAAAAATCATCTCCGTTTGAAGTAAGAATTAGGCGTGAGGTCTCATGTAAGTTTAATCTTGGGGTTAAGGCAAAGATTAGGTTGATAAATAACTTTTTGGGTTACAATTTTTCTAGCTTATCCAAAAAGTGGCGAGATGACTCAATGCGAGCCAACGAGAATGTGCATCAGCACACAACACTCTGTGCCTGTGTCTCCCCCTTCTATGGAGTCTGCCATGTATAACTACCACGTTCCTACTGCTGGCTCTAGATATGGCCTTTTGCGTTATTTGCGGCCACCATAGTTTCTCCTACAAGCTTGGAAAGTGAGCGGTGTTCAGTGGGTTGCAATGTGCAACTTTACCACTAGATCAACACACCGGCCCTTTAAAACACACCTTAATGGGTAACAGCTATTTAAAAAAATGCCAGCCAGAAAAAAGTCTTCACTCTGGAGACATTTGGTTATCATTAGGGTGAAAATATAACTAAACACACACATGTCAATAGGAGGGACTTTATTTTTAAGCATCACTGGTGGGTCTATAAGATTTATATTGATATACAAGGTTGAAGCTACTAAGACAAGAGAGACATTGTTCCTGTCAGTCAACCAGTCAGCACTGGTTCTGGGTGATGGCTTAAGGCTATGTATTAAAAAAAACAAAAAAACATGTATCACAGTGACATACACATGCTTGCGCATCTACATTTGTGAGGAGCTTCCCTTCTCTTACCCTTAAATCTAACCCTTAATCCCTATATCGCTTTATTTAAAGAGGTAATTTAGCTCCCACAAGTATATAAGGACAATATATGCATGCACACATACACACAGACAAACACAAGAGATCAATATAGCCCCAGAGTAGTGTTGAGAACAGGATCAAACCCATATAATCATCTGTAATCTCTGACATCAAATCCTGCAGAGACACATTGGAGGGCTGACAACAAGCCTTCATCAGCTCAAAGCGTTTAATAGCCACCCCCACTTTCCACACACACATAAAAAGCGCTGCCAGGTTCAGACACTAAAAAGGAGAATTGTAACCATGAACCATAACCACACAGTCGATAGCCATAAGAGGTATGGGAGGATGGATAGTGTCCCTTATCTTGGAATCCTTAACGTCACAGATTACCAGATGATCTACTCATGAATAAAACTAAGCTGAACTGCAGATAAGGTAAGAAGAGTAACTTGCAGGCTAATGTTTGACAGAGGCTGTAACATTGTCAGTCAGGGTCTAATCTATTCAGATAGAATCGAGAGCCTCACGTTAGCATCATGTTGACCATAATGCACTCATCTCATATAAATAACCTAACTTGGTACTCATGACTCCATATATTAGCATGAAAAAACACCCAGCTACTCATTCCCTCACTTGCACTTGCCTGGGCAGTATGCATATAAGCATACAGTATCCTTCCCTGAGGCTGAATATATTGGTAGTTTTACATTTTGAAGTAAGCAAATAGACCAGTCATCACTAGGGATTCCTGGTGCGGTTTTCCTTCATTGCTAAAAATGTCCTACACGCATCCTTGCTGAATTTTTTTAATTTTTTGATCAACCCTCCATTCCTTCCTCTTCTTTTGATGTGAGAGGATTTCTAAAATTTTTCTTTGTCTCACCTGAACAGACGGAATTAATTTATTCTCTTTCTTTCCCTAGTGTGTTTTAGCTTTTGGGAACTTAAGTCAAAGAGTTATTGTGCACAGGACAAGCCCAGACCCGGGACCCAGGCCTGCTGAACAACATGCACCTCGCCTTCAGGGTTGGTCATGTTTGGTTACAGCAACAATCTGCATGACGTCACACTCAGCTGAGGACAAAGCCCACTGGTTTCTCCCAGACAGAGAGGTGGGGGGTGGCTGTCACAGCATTGCAAGGACAAGCAAGAGAGAGAGGAAAAATGTAGACTTGCAGATGGATTTGCTGCAGCAGTGTGTGTATGTGTGTGTGCGCATGTGTGCAGAAATCTTTTTACATACATGTGACACAGCTGGTGGATTCCCATATGCATGTGTGCAATATGGGTGATGTAGAGTGAGACTGCATACACTTGTGCCTAATGTAGATGTCAACGTGATCATGCCCTGTTTTTCAGGACAATATGAGGCAGTTTATTGCTGCTGAGAATAATAACACTGTAATAACTCTACTCTTTACAATTTATAGATTTGATATACTGCAACAAGGGTTTAGTGCTAACAGCAATGCTCCCTTCACTGAATTATGCAATGCAACTCCCAAGTGCAATCCAAGGGAACAATACCCTCACTGCACTCAGTGCTATCCTCTGTCCTGTAAGCTTACAGTGATCATCATCACTCCACCCGCTGAGCTACAGTCATAATCTCACAGATATATGCTTGTGCTGGTTTATCCCTCGTTGTGGCCCACCAATGCACAATGCCAGGAGGGCATGAGTGTGCAGATATGACCAAATTAAATATTTGCACGTGCATTTTGATGACACACACACACACACACACACACACACACACACATAATGGTGAGTAATACACTGAGATATGTTATCACTTTGTCTCTAACCACCGCAGGCTGCACGCGCGCACACACACACACACACACACACACACACACAGCTTTGAGAAAGGCAGACAAAGCAGGGGAACGCCCCCTACACCCTGCAAGATATGTCAGGTCATCAGCTGTTTTAGACTGGATTCCAGACATTCTTTGCTCAGATTGACAGATTAGTCAATTGAGAAAATGATGACTCAGAATGCAAACAATTACCTGAAATCATCTAGAAATTACTAAATTAAACTGAAACCTTTGTGAAATTCCCATACACATCGATCTTTAAGTTCGCATAATACAGATGATTAAGAGGTAACGTTAACTAGCAAGTAAAATCTGAAGATTTTGAAGCCTACTTACCTAACGAGAAAAAAAGGTGGACTCAGGAGGAATAACACAGCCTCGCAGCCTGGACTGACGCGTCCCTGTCGTCTGGGAGTTCAGCCTTTTTGTTATGTCTCTGCCGTTGTCGGACTCCAGGTAGCTAACGAGGGTGTGGGGCGAAAATCGACCTCGAAGCTAAAAGCCGTTAGCCACCTTAGCTACTGTCTGGTGGGTAAATTAATCGGACAATTTCAGTCTCGTCCTCCCACTCTGTCTTGCAACATAGCTCCTCGTAGCTGACTACGTCTCTTCCTCTCTGTGCCTGTCGGTTTTTTTGTGCTCGCAACTGTTTTCGTTGTTTCAACCTTCGCCTGAAATTCCTACTCTGTCCCTTTAAGCAACAGCGATTCCGGGGTTTGCTGGTTAATATATACAGAAGGCGGAGCTTCACAGCCAGCTGAGCACCTGTCATTTAAGCGATTGGCCGTTTCTCCTAAGTTTAACCAATCAGCACTCAGAAATTACGCCTTCTTTAAAACATGCAGATTTATTCAAGATCCTGCTCTGTGATTGGACTATGGATTAATTAAAGAAACGCCCAGTACACGTGCTTTTTCTCCCCTCCCATACTTTAAAGCCAAGGTTGTGGCTGTTGCGCTCCGGCTGTATAGATCATATATATATATATAGAGAGAGAGAGAGTTTAAAGAAAACTCAGACAAACCATGATGTGACATGAAAACAGATGCTTTAGACGGTTATACAGCGCTGACATCAACATGTAGCACACCTATTTGCGGTTTACGCCCGCTGTTAAATTCGCAGTCAAATGTACACCCTTCCCTTTTCTTCGGTTTGTACTGAATCAGCCATAGCCATGTTGTCACAGAGCTAAAAATAGATCAGCTACACGTTGTATCCCCGTATTGCCTTGCAGCTGCACTGAACTCCACGCCCATCTACCCAGAGCACACTGGGGCCTGATTATACTTTGCTGTGGAGAGGAAGAGGCCTATACAGATAAAAGAAGGGCCTACAGAAAGCTCAGGGAGTGGAATCTAGGCTATTGCATTTGGCCATTCATCCATCTCTGTGCGGATGTCCCCCCATTGGCAATACGACCTCTGCATATTTCATAGTCATTGCAAAATCACCTCTTTTTTTTAATTCGAGATGTGTTATGAGGCATTATGATACCACAAAACAGGTTGTCAAGTCATATATTAACATTTTAAGCACCACACAATTCTAAAGATTCGAACGTCCTTTTTTCTAAAATGAAAAGATTATTAAACATTCCAGTTTTTAAGAGCGCTGAATCTAAATGGCTGATTCCATTGAAACAAGATGCAATTTACATACATATACTTTACACAAGATACACCTTTTTGAACATTTGTAATGGTTTTCACAGTGGCCGATATTATCACAGCTGATCTCAAAGTCAAACATTTGCGTATGCAGCCCTTTCCTGTAGTTCATCACGTAACGCGATCTGAAACGGGAAATGAAAGCTCGTCATTTGGCACACAGGTTCACTGCAAAAAAGAGACGTGTTTATTATTGGATGTCTTAGAAACAGTGAAAACTACTGCTCTCATTCTATTACTGTTTAGGATCGTTTACAAAAACATTCATAGGTCAGAGTGCCAAACTAGCACAAACATGGACATACATCCTTACAAAAAAAAATGACACAGTGGGTTGGGATTTTAACATGTTTTCTAAACGTCAACGCTTCTGTTATTGCATAGCAGGTTAGGGGAGAGGCTGGCGCCCCCTGCTGTTTACTCGACAGAGCAGTCATGGTGTCTTCAGATTTCAAAAGTGCTTTAGTCTACTCAGTAACTTGCTGATTGTGATTGTGGACTAAATGTGAAAATTTGGGCAGGAAAAGTTTTTCATGTAGGCTTTTCCCTCTGGTGCCTTGGAGCCAATAACTGACCAACTGAGTGGCAGCACCGATTTTGTTAAAATATTAATTGTGTGTGGCAGGTAGGGCCAAACAATTAATCAAAATCTTATCGAAATCACAACATGGTCTACTGCAGTTTTAAAATCGCAGGAAATGCAACATTTGTTAAAGGCAAAATGTGTGTCAATATACCATTTTAAATTAAATGTAGTCGTGCTGCAGAGATGTCCTGGCCTACACATCATATTCTACAGACTAAAGAAAAAAATATTTTAGTACAGATCCTTGTCAATGAAAATAATTATGTAGTAATTGATTATGTGTTGTGAAGTTGCACCATGTAGTTTTTATTTAAAAAAAAAACAAAAAAACACAATAATCAAAAAGAAAGTTTTTAACATAAATAAATCCATTAGGCACTGCTTCATGTAATGTGTAAGCTAATATCTTTACAGCAAATTTTGCCAATTATGTTTACATAAATCCCCCCCCCCCCACACACACCTGCGTGTCTAACAGTAGGGTGTCTAGTTAGCCTGAGCATTTCAACCAAGTACAACTCCTCAGAAACATAGTATAAAACCACATTCACATCTTGCAAACTATATACACGATATCACTCTTAATTTCTCACACACTACTCAGATTAAAGTGTTGTCAGAATTTGTCAGCTGTTCTGTCTTTTTTGCTTTCTTTGAACCCTCTGCGCCGTGCTCTCTCTTCCTCTTCCGTTTGCTCTTCTGTCCTTCCTCTTGTCTGAACTGGTGCCTGTTGAATAAAAAAAAAAGTGTCACATCCTCCTGCAGAGACCATTGCAGTTAATGCACTGAAATGAAATTTAAACCTCATGTGCCTGATGTAAATTAGCCCTTTAGTCCAACTCTGCTAAAGAAATACAATAGGGTAAATAAAGTGTTTTTGCATTTAAGTTTTGGCAGCTTATAAATGCTAAAATATTTTCACATTAGTAGGTAAGTCATCTCTAGCTAGTAGAATAAAGACAGGATGTTGTCAGATTGGCCTACATCACTGGCCACTTTAGCAGGTGACTGTCATGCACAGATCTTTTGCTTTCAAAAGTCTTAGTTTGTTGGAAGATCACAGAAGGTCATCAACCACCTTGTACTCTATACTATCTAGAGCTAAATATTTAGTTTGTACATTAACGCATTACTCAGCTGACATCTGGGAAGAGTGAATGCCACTTCCAGCTCTATGAATAAATTATGTGATGTTGCAAATGTATCCAAATATTTTCCAGTTATAAAGTGGGCGAAGTGTCCCTTATGGTGTTTTCAGCAAAAATGAGACTGAAATGAACACTGCAAAACACATCAGGAAGATTGCTTCTCTAAAAAGAAATGGGTGTCATTTGAAAAAGCAAAACAAAACATCTGAATTAACCATGATAACTCCAACGCACCCTGAGGATCATCTAACTAACTGGCTAGTAGTGCAGACGAAGACCAAAGACTCTTGTGATCTCACCTGGACTGCCAGCGTCGGCCACTGTTCCACACTCTACCAAAGGAGGGAAGCCAGTTGGCGTCTGTATGCGAGCTGTGATCAAAGTTGGCCCCCACTCTGTTCGGTGGAAGCTTCCTCAGCTTCTCTTGCTCCTCTGGCAAAAGACAGATGAGCCCATTTTAAGTATACTTTTAAATAACAACACACAACTTAAAACATCTCTGTGTGAGATGCCTACTCTGTTTGAGGAAGTCTTGGAGCGATGGGCCGATCTCTGGGTGTGCTGCAGTTCCGGAGGTCCCTTCCAAAGGATCATCCTGGAGCCATGGAGGGACGGCACCTACGTCACAGAGCCTCTATGCTTACTGTTCATCAATCACAGGAGGTGAACTGAGCTCATAACTATTAGAAATACTGAGTTTCTGCACAAGCTTTGAAAAGCATGGAAGTTACAATTGAAAATTAATAAATGTTTTATGAAGTTGAAGAAAACTAATGTTTATCGCTTAATATGCAAGCACACTTTTTTCTTTTCTTTTTAGCGTAAGAAGGGGATATTAAATATTACTAAAGCGCAAAATATAATAATAACAACTATATATATATATATACACACACACACACACACACACTATTTATTTATATATATTAAATGGATACATAATAATAGCAATAACAGTTCAACTCAACTTCCGAAAAGTTGGGCTTACTGTGAGGCTATTTGTAGTAGATTGGTATACACTGCAACATTTTTGTGTTATTTTGACACCCTCCCCCCCATCCCATCTATTTCCAACTTGGCATTTCACCATATAGTACCTTATCATAACATAAATTCATATATCACTGTACCTGTATGAACATTTCCACTGTTTGCTGAATCCTGTAACAGAGAAAACAAGTGATCAAGTGAGGTCATCGTGTTAAAATACAGCAACAAAAATAATTGTTGAACATATTCACTTTCTTCATGAGAGCAGTCCGTCTACCTGATAACCTATGAAAGTCAGCCCTTGTCCTGGTGTAGACCTCTGTGTTTCGACAACGGAGTCGTCAAAGATGCTCCTCGCCTGCTGGCCTGATCCTTGACACATAAACTGAGAGCTGTTCCCAAGACAACAAGATGATCCCCAAACCAACAAAAGTCATTTCATGTACTATTGATGCAAAAAGGATAAAATGTCATAGGCAGACATAATGTTACCTGACAGCATCCTCTGCAGACATGTCTGTGCCGTTGGGTCCATTGAACAACTCTGGCTCTGCGTCATGCTGATATTGATTCAGGAAAAGCCAACAGTGGTTCATAGAGGAAGTCTGAGCACCAATCATGCTTCATCTCAGCTTTTATCACCACAATCCTAACATGGACCTTTGTCCCAAATTGTAACATAAACCCTATTTCTATTCATGTTTGTTTTTCTCTTCTAACTTCGATCCATTTTCTAGGTTTGCTACCTAAATTTTTTTACTTTAATCTGATATAATAACTTCAACCTTCATTAAACCACCCTAGCCATTAGATTTTCTGTGGCTGGTTTTTAGAGATCTCCAGATCCAGATCTTTGGTTACTCGTTTCGGTTGTTACAATCATTTAGCTGAAGAATGGTGGCATTTCCCATTTTACATGCACCTCAAAATCATGGAAAACAAGTGGAGGCCACAGTGATGGATACTGCCACTGCATCCAGTTTGGACAACAAACCTCTAAAAGAGACTGAAGGACCTCTTGACGAAGCTTCTCCTGGGCCCGGATTGAATCGGCTTCCTGCAGCCATGAGAAGAAAAATAAAACAGATTACCATCAGTGAATTTCAAGTCTGGTTAAAATAAAACTCCATAGGACACTTTTTAGCCATGCTAGTAGGGATGGCAATGTCGGTCTGTCCAACACGTTGGTCCTGACTGAAATATCGATGGTGTACATTGTGACTTGCTTAAAATCAGCCTGTTAGCATTGTCTTTGTAAGTGTGTTAGCATATGGACATGTGCATTTAGCACCGCTGTGCCCAAGTACAGCCTCAGAGACCCACTAGCACGACTGTAGACTCCTGTCAAAGGGCAATTTCTGTATTTTTAAACTAGGGCCCTATTTTCACATATTTTGGTGTTGAAATGACTAGTAGTTACCAAAAGTTTTGGAATCCGTGTAGTACAGTAGATGGCTTTGGCCAGCAGCCGCAACCCGGCTGCAACGTATTCTTTCAGGGCAATTGTGCCAGTCAAAATTTTGTCACTGACGAACTCAGACTGCGATACGAGGTGTCTGACAACATCGTGGAAATGATTCCTATGAGTAACACCTGGAGATACCCTTTGTTTTCAACAAGAAACAGAAGTCTCGCTCAAGGACAATTCTCGCTCTGAAATCTCATGAGGCGCTAGTTGTTGCAGGAAGATAATGGTGGAAACATGAGTCAGACTTGGAGGGAGGAGATTGTTGTGTTAGAGTACTGTCTTGCTAGCGGTTCCTCTGTGTACACAACAAACTAACCCTCGTTTCCTGCTAAAAACAAGTAGCGTCACTGAAGCCACCTACTGCACGGATACCAAAACCTTTTGTACCTACTAGTCATTTTGACACCGAAATATGTGAAAATAGGCCCCAGGTTTAAAAATACTGAACTTATTCTTTAAGCTGTCGTCAAGATTAATGCAGAGTTCATTCAAAAAAAATAAAATAAAAAATTACCTGTTTAATGAATTCATCCTCCTTCTCCACAAATGATTCCAATGCCTTTTCCACTTCAGCTTTAAACCTTAACAAAAACAAACAATTATCCTTGCAGATAATCTTTTCCAAACAACCTTTATAATATTATATTATTAATATAAACTTTTGGCTCACGAGGCCTACTTTTCAGTTTCCTCCTCTGTGATGATGACCTTGTCTCTAAACTTGGGGTCGGCCTTATTGTCCCACCAGAATTTGTGCGTATTCTTCCTGTGTTCTGGGCTGAAATCAGACAGATTTGAAATGTCAACCAGAAACCAGAAGACAAAAGCAGTTTATCGCACAAATTCATAAGGACAAAGGCACGAGTAGGAGAACTTTGTCAAACCCACAGATTTTTCACAAATGTGTAGCTGTTAGTTTGGGCAACATGAGCTGGATCTAAATTGTGGAATAAGCACAAGATATGCTATTACAAATGTGGCAGCCATTATAAATTAGCAAATATCCTTGTGCACTTTCCCACTTAAAACACTATGTTTTTGTACTTTTCCATTAGCCATAATGAAGCACTGAGCAAAACATGTTAGATACATGTTCAGTCGCCATCACAAAAACAGCTATATTTCTTCTGTTCTCCAAGTATACAGTTTAAACCCCGGGGTGCTCTATGTTGAAAACTGTGTGGTTGTACTGGGTGAACATGGGCATCAGTGAAAACATAACAAGCTAAATAAAAGTTAAACTCACGTAGCCATGTGTTCTATCAAGCCTCCGTACATCACAGTCATGTTGCCATCTGTAACATTTCTTTCAATTTCAAGCCCACAGCAGTAGCACCAGAATGTCTGCTTGTGCTGGGTGCCATCAAACTTTTCTACTTGGGGTTTTTTAAGTGTTCTGCGAGCTTCCTTCACCTGGGAGACAGTGGATGAAACAAACACAGGAAGCACTCAAATTAGAAGTGATGCAGTCTAATACAACAGCCTTGCAATAAATTCTACCTTCATGAAGGTTAAAATGCTGTTTAGGTTATTTGAAAGGTTGTTTGTGATTTTGTTGAATTTTACTGGGTTATATTTACAGTTGCTGCTAATTATTTACACCTCTTGATATGTCATTGAATTAATGAGGTGAAACTAAATGGCAATTTGTCTCATCAGGCTAGAAGCACTAGTCGTTCACATAACCTTGAAAAGATTACATTTTACAAACTTCTGGACCATATGCACGGGCAGTCTCAATGGGCCCTTCCCCGCATCCATGGCTATTCATTCTAGTATTCAGAACTGTGGGACCTCCTCACATGAAAACGTAACGCACAAAATCCTCAATACATTAGACAACAGTTGACGTTAGTTAACCTAACTTACTCACCTTTTCTAAGAATTTCAGTAGAACCACTCTAAGTCTGCTTTGGTGATTTTTTCCGAAGATATGTCCCTTCCCCGTGAACGTTGTCTGTCTGCATATGGCACAGTAATATGCACCCATTAAGACGGTTTGCAAACACCAGAAGATAGTCAAAAGCTGAGGCTGAGCCAAAACCAATCATTACGATTTACTGTTTGGTCTTCTTTCCATCGACTTGGGGTAAAAACATAGACTGTAAAACGCTATCCAACATGTCCCGTTAGCACGGCTAGCGCCGCTGGTAACCTGCTACAGGAAGCGATGCCGTCATGATTTGTGTCCCCCTGGAAACAGACAGGATGTGGAGGTGAGTTACTGTTAAACTTCTTCACCTTCTTCTTTATGTAGAATTGCGGCAGTGTAGACGCTGTTGAACTAATTAAAAAATGAATTAATCCTTACATACACAATCATGTGTCATGCAGCAACTGAAGAACTGCCTTGGAGATCAATTTATGTTTCTCACTGTGTCCAAACAAAGACGCAACAGATAAAAAAACTCAACTCCAAGTAAACCAATCTAACACAGAATACCTTTATTTCTGCCCTCTTTTCTAGAGGAAAACATGCCCTACTGTCTCAAGACTCAGACATTCATACAAACCACATACGTACTTTCCAATGCTTGTTAAACTGCTCCAACTCTTGTTACCCCTGGATGTTTTTACCCCTCTACATTTATGCTATATGACAGTCTACAGCAGTGCCTACGCAGATTGAAATTTTACACAAAAAAAGTTTAACTGTTTCGCAGACATCTAAAATTGGGAGACAACCCCTGTTGTGCTGTATGACTAGTTGGTAGAGGAAAGACTGTTCCTGTAAGATCAAAGGGGGTTTCACTCTGGGATAGGTGCTCTCTTGTTTGACCAAAAGTAACGAAGAACAGTAAAGTACACCCTTCCTAATTGGGAAGAACTTACCCAAACGACCAATATGGACCTAAGCCATGTGGAGGAAAAAGGACCCGTCCAAATACCCAGAGGATATAAACAACTCATTTTGTGAGAATCGGGACTGAAAGGTGTAAATCTGAAAGGAGGACCAACTTTTCAGACCACTGCAGTGTTATTTGTTTGTTCTGTAATGCCATCTCTTTATTCACTAATTTTTGTAATTAAATCTTTTGTTAATTTTGATTTAGACCCAGCCTCTCCTTTCTCAAAATCTGACAAACGCAACACTACCTAGGAGGAATGAGAACACCAGGTTCAAGCTAAACTGGTGTCCTGTTCACATAAGTTACTGTACATCCTGATAGTTAAATTATATTTCAGTTACCAGAGGAGTCTGACAACTGGTATTTAAAGGAAGGACGCTGGTGACCAGGGAGGAGCTGAGGCTACTAAAGTAAAGGGATGTAAACTAGTCCTTTTAAGCAATTGAGGCTTAGTAATCAACCAGAGATCACATAGAAAAAATTTTAATCGTGAGGTGCCAAGAGATTCTCACCCCTATCTTAGTGGCATGAAGGAGTAGGCTATATTTTCAACAATTACATTAAGGTTTGCTAAACATGTTCCGTTTTGTTCCTTCAACGACTGCATTAGGCTACTCATTTTTCTCTTAACAACAATATTTCTTTGAAACAATACATTTTTGACCTTTTAGTACCTTTTGTACACTACACTTATGTGAGTGAATTGTGAACTGTTATTAGCCACTACTACTCACTTCCACTGTCGGAACATAACAGTGTGACACTCACCGGAAGTAAACAACACAAGCGCTAGTAGCGTTTACCTGCAGGCGTGTTGAAGTAGCTGGACGAAGATATTGTTGTCGTAACTCCACTGATAATTTTATCTGTATTAAACATCAATGTCTTCATTTGAGTGTTTGAGGGAGTTTGTGAACGAGCGAATCTGCCGCTGCTGAAGAAATATTCGGAGTTTTTAAGAAAACTATCATCGAGTACGAGGAAGAGATCGACCGTCAGCGCAGACTGCTGGTTGCTGCTTGCAGACCCATACAGATACTCATGATAGGTGAGTATTATTAAAACGTTCATTGTTTAATAACACAAACTATGTCTACATACATAGTGCAAGCGGGAAGCTTCACCGGTGTTTCGGTTTAACAAGTGGCCCAAATGGGAATATTTAAAATTCAGAATAAGAAACTTTTCGATCTCGTGTAGTAAACAATTGAAACAATCTGCCCTTTTAGAGGAGACTGATTTGACAAGGGGGATAAATCTTTGCTGTAACGTTAATAAACCCACACTTACGGATTCTGACAAAAGAAAACTACTTGCACTACAAACCAAATTAGACAATATTTATACAAGTAAAGCAAATGGAGCCTTCATCAGATCCAGAGCAAAATGGATCGAGGAAGCAGAAAGAAACTCTTGTTATTTCTGTAGATTAGAGAAACCCCGCTGGGAAAGAAATAACACAGGAACACTGGCATTAATGAAAATGAGTGCTCTGATCCTAAAAGTATATCCAATTAAATTTATTCCTTTTACAGCATATTTCTCAGCTGACAACAGAGGCCTTCTTTAATAAAATCAGAGGTTTTATTGCCCAAATAAATGAGGACTTCCAGAATACATGTGAGTCAGAGATCACATATAATAAGCTTGAAAAATCCTTGCAGTGTCTAACTTTTATAAACATTTCTGGGAGCATATCAAAGCACTTCTATTTGAAACACTCAACGCTCAGCTTTAAACAACTGGTCACTTCACGGACATTGAGGCAAAATGTAATTGTTCTCATTCCAAAACCAAAGATCCCAAAATCTTGGACAACTGGAGAAAAGAGGGTCTCCCTCAAATAATAAGTGACACTGAATTGGGATTTATGAGAGGTAGAACAATAGACAATAACGTTCGCCTTGTCCTTGATTTACTTGAATACAAAGAGCATATAAAAGGACGATGGCTTTATTCTCTTTTTGGATTTTTATAAGGCGTTTGACACGGTTGAATACCCCTTTATTTTTAAGGCTCTGGAACTCTGTGGTTTTGGGGAAACATTTAGAAACTCTATAAAATGTTTTTTATAGCTCAGTGTCTCTCTCAGGTGGCGCTACGCCTTCGCTTGGAGGTATAAAACAAGGCTGCCCCATCTCACCCTCACTCTTCATAATCACAGCTGAAATGCTGTCAATCCAAACAGTTTAATGTCTTTGATAACCACATAGTTATAAGTCAGCTGGCTGATGACACAACTCTGTTTCTTAAGGGTTGAGCAAGTCCCAAAGGCTACTGAAACCATAGCCTCTTTCTCAAAAGCATCTGGGTGACAACTGAACTTGAGGCAGCATATGGCATCCCTATTAAAACTACTGTCAAATACTTGGGTATACACACAAGTTGAGTGAAACCTTAAAGATACGGAACAAAATGGATGAATGTAAATCAAGATTAGATAGATGGTTAAATAGAGATCTTTCTCTTTTTGGTCGCATCTATATAACCAAAATGAAAAGTCTTTCACGATGCCTTTACCGAGCCTATTCTCTGTCAATCCCCAACAAAGCTGCCAAAACCATCAATACATAAAACTTTGATTATCTAAAAAAAAGCGACTATAGTGAAAGACTATGAAGACGGTGGGCTACAAGCTGTAGACTTTGATTGTATAAATGGAACCTTAAAGACTAAATTGTTAAAATCCTTTCTAGCAAACCATGGAAGCTTCTGGTATTGTGTCTCCAGGCAATTGTTTCAGAAAATTGGAGGTATTGATTTACTTTTACGCTTTGACTGTGATGTAACTGTAACTATACAGTGTAACTATGGAGTTACTATAAAACTGCAGTCCATTCACAAGTTCTGTTATATTGGAAACTACTGTACAAACACAATTTTACTCCCCATGATGTACCCATTTGCAATTGCAGATTCATTCTCTTTAGAAATAAGTGCCTGTATTTCAATGAACGATGGAAAATAATATTTGGTCTGTCACCCATTTGCGTGACATCTATGGAAATGTTTTATCTTTTGAAGACTTTGTTACAAAATTCAATTTTCAGTGCAACCATAAACATTATGACAAGGTTGTCCAAAACGTCCCATCTGCTTTCTTTCTGATGGTAAAAAAATGCACAACCTCATACGTTCAACCCCCCTCATCTTCCTTCATTGATGATTAGTGGTCACCAGTTCGGTAATAAGACTTTGCAAAACAAAGTGTTCCGTGATGTCTTTACTCTTACTTTATATCCAGTGCAACACAGCCGAAACTATCATTGTTCTTTGAAGAAACTATGTACAGATTTCTTAAAGTTACCTTTATTACCAAAAGCTAAAGAGCTTCACTTTAAAGTATTTAATGACATATATCCTTAGAGAAACCTCCTCTCACGTAGATTTAACTATGATCCAACTAACTGAATATTCTGTGATGAGGACATAGAGACCACAGATCATTTGTTTTTCTTCTGCATTTACAGTAACACATTCTGGTGTGACATGTATGATTGGCTCGAGGTAACATTACATTTGGAATTATAACGAAGGACAAAAACTATGAACTGCTTTTAAACTCATTAGTTATCTTGGGTAAATTATTCATCCAGATCTGTCTTCAAGAAAGAATTTACATTGTACTACAAATCCCTGTTGTTCATGAAGAGGAAAACAGCAAAAAAAACTTCTTAATTTTATTGAAATGAAAATTAACTGAAGCCCATTAATCAATGTTTTGTTACTATGTTTCTTTATCCTCATTTATTTTATTTATTGTTTATTATTTTTATTATTATTTTACTTAATTTTGTTCCTTAAAGTTGTTTTTGTTATCCTACATGCTCTGTTCCTTGTTAGCGCTGCATTTATTTTTATTTTTACTTTTGACTATGCCAGATATTGTTGTAAATTGTATAAAAAATAATAAAAAAAAACAAAACAATGGGTGACGTCACAATAACTACATTCACTTCTTTTATACAGTCTATGGTATCATGTTCCTTTTGTTCTCTGTCCCTCCAGAGCTCCCACAGCAACATGTCTGTAAGGAGGAAGAGGAGGTTCTCGCTGACCAGCAGCTCTGTATTGAGGAGAGGAACTCCAGTCTGGACCAGGAGGACCCAGAGCCTCCACAGATTAAAGAGGAACAGGAGGAACCCTGCAGCAGTCAGGAGGGAGAGCAGCACGTACTGAAGCAGGAGACTGATGCCTTTATGTGGATTCCTGCTTATGAGGAAAGTGACCATAGAGAACCAGAGCCAAGCAGAGACCACCAGCTCCTCTCTCACAACTCTCATGTACCTGAGAGCCAAGATCAGACAGGAGGCAAGCATGAAGA